TGCACACCAAAGGAAGCCATTGACAAAATGAAGACAACCTACTGAATGGGAGAAAATATTTGCAAATGATATGACCCATAAGGGATTAATAGCCAACATATGTAAACAGCTCATACAACTCAACATCAAAAAAACAAACAACCCAATTAAAAAATGGGCAGAAGAATTTGCAGCAACATGGATGGACCTAGAGATTATCATACTAAGTGAAGTAAGTCAGAAAGAGACAAATACCATATGATATCGCTTACACATGGAATCTAAAATATGACACAAATGAACTTATTTACAAAACAAAAGCAGACTCACAGACATAGAAAACAAACTTATGGTTACCAAAGCGGAAAGGGAGTTGGAGGAGAGGGATAAATTAGGACTCTGGGATTAGCAGATAGGTTTACTTAATATAATCATGATTTAGTCCTTCCTCTTGAGTTACCGCCAAGTTACCTTGATTTGATTTTTGCTGTCCTGAGGCAGTTGCCCTAATGGTTGAGCTTAGACAAGTCACTTAGCTTTAGATTCTTCTAATTTACTTTTCAAAGGGTAAGCTTAACTTTAATGTGAAGTTTGTAACAGATTCTGCCCCAGAAGAAACACTTTGATTCCTCATAATTACTTTAATAAAGACACTCTAATGATAGAAGTAACTATAAAAACATGGCCTCTGAACCTAGCACAGTGCTGAATGATTTTTAAGCATTTGTTTTTTTTTAAGCATTTGTTTTTTTTAATCTTCTCGTGAGTATGTTATCCCCACTTATAGAGAAGGAAGCTGAGGCACACAGAAGTTGAGTAATTTTTCCAGGTTCATACTGTTAATAGCAAAGCTAGATTGAACTTCAACTGATAATTCCAAAGCTGGTGCTTTTAACTCTTTATTCCTTCCTTTATTCATTCATTCATTTATTTATTATATATTTTAACTCTGTTCCTTATTGCTCCCTGGTACTGTTCCCCAGGAGAAAGGCATTCAGGGTAGGTAGGTATAATACTACTGCTACTAATGATGATAAATATAGTTTCAGTGCCTTATTTGTATCAGGTACTTTACATACGTTTTTATGGATCCTTATTGCATTTCTATAATATAGGTATTTTCTTTGCTTGTGATGAGAATTTCAAGATGCACCCTTCTAGCAACTTTCAAATATGCAGGACAATATTATTGACTGTAGCCCCCATGCTGTACATTACATCCCCATGGCTTGTTTATTTTATGACTGGAAGTTTGTACTTCTTAACCCCCTTCACCCATCTCACCCACCCACAACACTCCTCTGGTGACCACCAATCTGTTCTTTGTATCTATGAGTGTCTGTTCTCTTTATGAGTTTTGCTTTGTTTGTTCGTTTATTTTGTTTTGTAGATTCCACATATAAGTGAAATCATATGGCATCTTTCTCTTCTGACTTGTTTCACTTAGCATAATACCCTCAAGGTCTATCCATGTCGTCACAAATGGAAAGATTTTATTTGTTTTATGGCTGAGTAGTGTTCCATTGTGTGTGTGTGTGTATATATATATACACCTACACACACGTGTGTGTATGTATATATCACTGTAGATATTACTTTTAAAATATTTTATATGAGATAATTAAGGTTGAAGAGATCATATAACTTTTACAAAGTCTTATAGCAGGTAGCTGGATTATTTGCCTCCAAAACCAGAGTGCAAAGAAATTGATAGATGGAAGTTTGTGGCACTTCTGGAGGGTAGCAAGTTGCCCAGTATAACTCAGGCCTAAAGTACATGGACAGGTCAAGCTGTTGAGGGGATCAGGGAGATTAAAGGGGTAAAGGAGAATTTCTGAATATTTTTAAAGGATGAGTAGGTCCTTAAGTATCAGATGGAAGATTGGAAATTTGGAGTGGTAGGAAAAAGAGAGACTCTTGAGTGGTGGCAAAAGAGACTAAAAGTTGTTATTTTCTGATAGACTGAAGTCATGTCATGCAGGAAAAAGTATGGCGGAGATAAAAGAGTTCTACCATTATTTAGAGGAGAGCACGTCACTCAGATTTTTCTTTTCAGATAAATAGCTCAGATGGGATCATTGGTCTCAGACATGACAGCAGTTGAAATCTCTCAAACTTAAAAAAAAAATTCAGCACGTTGTGTTTTTAAAGTCAAAGCTTTGGAAAGGTGCTCTATTATATCACCTATGGCATATTTATAAATGTCATGGCGCTAGTGAGGATGGGTAAAGTTCTGGTGGCCAGAGATGATTCTTTTTAACTTTCTGGTGGGTGTATGCTTGGCCACCACAAAGCCAGCAGTGGTCTCTGTTTGTTTGGCTTTCATTCAGAAACTATTTTCCATCACAATAAATCACCAGTCTCTTTAGCATCAGGTGTCTGGTGATCACAGATTCAATTACAGTACCTGATAAAATCGCGAATATCCTGGTAGTTCCTTTATATACTGCCTCTTCTCTTCAACAGTGAGCCTTTTAAAAACTTGGGTTCATCAGGAAAAGGGAGTCTTTATTCTTTAGTGTATAGATGAGTATATTTGAACAATGGCAAAAAGCAATGGGCTGGGGGCCTAAAAGAAAAAGTATCCTCTTCGTTTCCTTCCTATTCTTTTTGCCTAGTTTTAATGGCATTGCAAGTATAATTGAATGTGCCTCTTGGGAGTGAAAGCTGTACTTGATTAAGCTAATTATGGAGAATAGCTGGGGTAGGTCTTGGGGTACAGGAGTAGGAATGGTTTGGCGTAGTCAAGCTTTCGTGAATTTTATAGTCCAGTCTACAGATTCATAGAAGACCTTAGATTTGGCCAAGACTTAGAAGTCATCTGGGCTAACATCTCACACTGTAAATTTCTTCTTCACCATCTTTCCCAGGCAGACGGGTAGGCGTGGACTTTCTGCTTGAGATCTTCCAGCAAGTTCACTAGCCTGGAAGCGTGAACGCTCTAGGAAGACAAGAACTGCAGGGGTTTTGCTTTGCACCGTGTCCACCATGTATGGCAGTGCCTTGCTCTGTTGTCGAGTAGCTCTAATTATTGGGAAGTGCCGCTTACTGCTAGTTTTCAAGACTTGGAATAAAAAATATCCAACATGAAATCCCATTTCTGCCACTTACTGTGTAACTTTGGGCAATTTCCTAACCCCTCTGATTTCAGTTTTTGCCTGTGAAACAAGAAGGCAGTATGTAACTAGTGAGTTTGTGTGTTGTGTTCCGAGACCTACTTGTAGAATTGTTTAAAGAGATTAATCAAAATGTCTGCAAAGAATCTGACACATAGTAGGTACTTTGTAGGACCCATTCCCCTTGGGCCTAATTCTGATCTTTTTCTGGGTGTGTGGTATTTGATACTGAGTTCAGATCCCATGGTAATTTGTCCAGTATAGAGTGAAATAGAACCATTGTTTTTTATGTACAGGGTGTTATATGAGTTCTTTTTAAAGAGGTAAAATAAGGATGTAGACAACTGGGTATGAAACCGTGCACCAGCAGTGGTGTCCCTGCCTTCCTAAATCTGTAGCTATATAATGGTTATGAAGAGCAAAATCATTAGGTTTCCTGGAGGCGTGAAGAGAGGAGGGAAATATAGGCTTATATCAGAATTTATTAGCATCAACTAAGACTTCTAATCTGAAACAACTGGTGGAAAAGAGAAAATTTCAGTTACACTATTGTTTGGTCTACATTAGAACAATCAATGGAAGTGATTCCCTTTGGACTCGCTGGTTTTATTTTTCAACTTGGTTTAGAGACAGTCTAATTTTCTTTTTTGAAACTGACTCTCTGCTGCAACTATTTATAATGTGAATTTTAGAATTACTCATTATGCACTCGTAAAAGAATTGAAGGCCCAAGAGGGTGAATTTGTCCTTTGCCTGATGTTTATAAGAGATTGGCAGTGTTGAGAGAAGGAAAAGCTTCATTTTCTCCATCATCCTTTCCCATTCCAGAATGTGTTTACTTGGTGAAAGAAGCCACCCCAAATATTCTCTTGTTAGGGCCTTCATTTTGGGAAACATGTTATTGATTTTTAAGTAGCCTCTGAAGTATTATTACACTCTCCTTGAAAACCTGTTAATAGGGATGTATAACTTCCACAAAGTAGGCTAGGCAAATTCCTGTGATAGAACTTCACTAGTAGTTTCTAGGGAAACAAGAACTTCACTAGTAGTTTCTAGGGAAAACAATGATGCTATTTTTTTTATTATTATTTTAAAAAAGCTAAAACTAGGGGAAATAGGGTTCTGAGGTGTTCTGCCTTATCTGTAGGGATGCAGTAATCCCCTCACTATATCAGTATAGTAGATTTGCTTTGGAGAACCTATAGCATAAAGATAAATGTTTTTAGTTTACAGACCCAAGGGACTTTACTGAAGGTTATGCTTTCCACAAACTGTCTGCTATTGTTATTTTGAAATGGAAATTTTTATTTCTGCTTCATTTATATTTAGTGTGGTTTTGGTACTAAGTGTACATCAGACCTTGATGAATTGTCATGGCTGGGTGGTAATAACAGTCCATTAAAGTGAGCACTCTGTTTTTTAGCCATGCTGGATAACTGAGAAAACGTGTGTGTGCGTGCACCTGTCCTTGAGCATCATGAAAGCTGGTGTTATCTCCCACTTCTTCAAGTCTTTCTCTTCTATCCTTTGGACTCTATTTGGCCGAATGGCTACAAACCCAAGGAAATAATTTCACATCCACATCATGTAAATTTTGAGACATAAGTTATTTATTTTAGTAAGCAATTTAGTAAACATTTAAGACAACAATGAATTGAACTACTTTTAAAGTGTTTCTATTAAAAGGTAACTTGCCACAATAGATTGTTTCCTTAGGAAGAAAAACTTAACATGGGAATTTCTTTTAAAAAGACTCTATTAGGAATATTAATCTGATTTATACTCAAATACGAAAAGATTGACTTTTAAATGATTTTCTTATAATTATTTTGAATGTTATATCTTCTCTACTGTGCCTTTATAAATATTAATTGGGTATATGATATATGTTGTTTATTTTTGTAGTTAAAACAGAGCCAATGAGCAGCAGTGAAATAGTTTCAACAACAGCAGACGGGTCTTTAGACAATTTCTCAGGTTCAGGTAAGGAATAAATATTAGATTTTCACAGTAATATGAAACATTATTTTTCCTAGTTTACATATACAAATATATGTGTGTGTATGTATGTGTGTGTATGCATGTGTATGTGTATATATGTGGATATCATCTGTGTAATACTGTACAGTTTTTCTCAGCGTCACATATTTGCAATTCTGATGTTTTTGTTCGGTGTGATGAAGTGTTTGCTGAAAATGTTGGTATTCTGTAAAGGAGAAAAAAATCAAAAGGGGAATTGTTCTCCATCTTCTCTAAATTATCTTTATTATGTTGATGACTCCTTCCTTCTGTCTCTCATCTGGTGATTTTTCTTTCTTTTTTAACACATTTATTTATTTATTTATGGCTGTGTTGGGTCGTCGTTGCCACATGCGGGCTTTCTCTGATTGCAGGGAGCAGGGGCTACTCTTCGTTGCGGTGCGCGGGCTTCTCACTGCGGTGGCTTCTCTTGTTGCGGACCACGGGCTCCAGGCGCGCAGGCTCAGTAGTTGTGGCATGCGGTCTCAGTAGCTGTGGCTCGCGGGCTCTAGAGCGCAGGCTCAGTAGTTGTGGCGCACGTGCTTAGTTGCTCCGCAGCATGTGGGATCCTCCCAGATTAGGGCTTGAACCCGTGTCTCCTGCATTGGCAGGCGGATTCTTAACCACTGTGCCACCAGGGAAGTCCCTATGTGATTTTTCTAATCACGCACAATTTGGCTTCTGATAGCCCCTAAACAGACTTGCCACGGCATCCTCCTAACTAACTGTCACGTCAACTAGAGATCAGACTTTGTCAAGCAGCTTTAGATCCTTAATTAATTTTTTAATCTCTTTCATTTTGAGAAAGCCTGCCTTCAACAAACAAAACATACAAGTTTCACCTCCATGATGATGAAATTGCTGATAAGAAAGTGACTGTGATAATAAATTCACTGTGAGGATCTGATTGTATCTTTTCCAAATTACCCAGCTTGGACTCTTTCAATTAAAACTCATTCTTATCAGCAGTAATTCTTCAATTTTTTAACCCTTTTCAAGTGATTTGCTGTGTTTATGAGACCTCTCCATCGGAAATGCTATACTTTTCTAAGTTTGTGATTGATCTCGTCTAGCTCTTGGGATCATTTCACATACACTCCAATTAGAAGGAGTTATAAATAGATATAGAATGAAATGCAGATGCACAACTTTTATGCTGATGATACCAGCTGGAGGCAATAAGGAGATAACAACAGGTGTTACACTCATAGTTCTTTCATAAAGCATTTACTAGAATTTGACTTATGTCAGGCAGTGTGCTTGGTGCTATTATGGATTCAAAGGTGTATGAGAACGGTCCTGCCTTGCGACTTAATAGGGCGAAGTAATCACCAGGCCATCATAGTACAGCTGCATAATGCCGAGGGAGGCCCGGGGACCCCTAAGAATACCCAGGAAGGACCCAACAGAGACCGAATTGGGGTGGGGTGGTCAGGGAGGGTTTCCTGGAGAGGATGCCTGCACTCAGCCTTAAAGAATGTGTAGGAATAAAGCACATGTAGGATTGAGGATGGGGAAGATGGACGGATGGAGTGTTCCATGGGAGGAGACCAAGGCACGGAGGTGTGGAACTTGGAGGCACCACTGATGGTTCAGCATTCTTGGTGTGTCTGGTGTGAGCAGTGCGGGGTGTGCTGCACGGAGAGGAAGGGACCAGAGTCTAAACAGGCAGGTGTGTTCCACGTGGCATGTGTGTTTTATCCTGAGTGCCACGGGAGGCATCAGGTTGTGTGTTCACTTTCCCTTATGGAAGGACTCAGGCAGGATGGAGGGGAGGCTGGGGAACTGAAGGGGAGAGAACAGTTAGGGGTTTTTGCAATCACTTTCACAAGAAATGCTGAAGACCTGAAATAGGGTGCTGGCAATGGCTGTGAAAAGGTGATGGATTAAGACGTATTTATGAAATAGAATTTATGGTCATAGTGACCAGTGAGCATGGTGGGGATGAGTGAAGCAGAGAGAAAAGGGAGGAGTGAGGGAATCTGAGAGGTATGACTGAGGAAGAAAGGTGGTAGCTTCTGTTTGGGGCTTGTTAGTGGTGATTTAACATGCACCTGAAGATGTTGGAGCTCAGGAAAGATCTGGAATGGAAATTCTGAAAGTGTACAGAGAGTTAACGCTAGCAGGGTATAACAAGGTTGAAGACAGAACCCAGGGAAAACCAATACATAAGAGATGGGTAGAGGATAAGATGAAAGCACAGGTGATTGGGGAAGAAGAAAAAGAGTATTGAAATGGAAGTAAAGGCAGGAAAGATACTTCAAGGAAGCACTTCTATATGATAGATTCATATACAGGTTTTAAAAATGGTTTTTTAAAAAGACTTAATGACATGAGAAAATGTTTACTTATATTAAGTGTAAAGCAGATTATAAAAGAGTAATATGTTCCGTATAATCACAGTTTTGTTTAAAAAGACATTTATTTGTATGTATTTGTGTCTGTGTGTATGTGTATAAAAATTAATGGTTGGCTCTCTCTGAATGGTGGAATATAATTTGAATTTTATTCCTTCTGCCTTTTTCATATTTTTTTGCAGAGCATATGTATAATATTCATACTTTTAAAAAGTAATCATTTTAAAGTACAAGTTAAAAATCACATACTAAACTGCAAAGAGATAATTTTTTTGAAAGTATCTGTGAATAATAGTATTGCATCATGGTTTCTCCTGATTTTTATCACAGTACCGTGGGGAAGAAATTCCTCGTTTTTAAGAAATACATACAGAAATATTTATGAGTAAAGGGGCATCATATTTGCAACTCCAAAAAAATGTGAGTTATACATGTGCATAATACACACATATAGAGAGAGAAAGAGAATAAAGGATAAAGTTAATCTCATAAAACATTACCATTTGTGGAATTTGGGTGAAAGATATCTGGGAAGTTTTTCTACTATTCTTGCAGCTTTTCTCCAGTTGTCAAATTATTTCAAAGTAAGAAAAAAAATGAGAAGCATGAATGAATTTAACCTATGGCAGTTTCAGTGGACAAGCGGGCTTCATCTCCCCTTGTGCCCGCTGGCCTACATGCCCTACTTCTGTGTCTCCAGCATAGTTCCTAGCAGATAGCATGTGCTCATAAAGTTTGTTGAATGGATGAATGACTTAATGAATACGCTGAGGAAGTGGAGACAGGAAAGAGAAAAATGTCTTTCACGTCGATAAGTGGTGAAGGGAGAAGAAGAGAAGGTAGTCTGTTAGAAAGAGGGCTGGAGGGTTGGGGATGGCATTTAGGTCAGGGTGTTTTGGGCTGCCAGCACGAACTTTATAGAGGCAGGGGTGAAAGGTAGAGGTGACCCTGATGGGGCAGCAATGGCTTCAATTCACAACAGAAGTGGGTCAGCCTAGAAAAGGAATAACTTTTCCACAGAAATATCAGGAAAGATTGATGGAAAGTAACGCAGATGAGTTTGAAGTGGAGGAGGAGGAGACAAGACTTTGAGGGAATTCCTGCCTGATTCCTCTGTTCGAACCTTCCAGTGGCTCCCATTCATCTCTGAGTAAAAGCCGATTCATTACAATTAGCCTGCAAGCCCCATCAGACCTTATTGCCTGCTTCCCTTGCCTCCTGCTGTTTCTCTAATGAGGGCCTCTGCAGGGGCAGTGCCTCTGCCTGGAACACGTCTCTGTGCACCTGCCTGACTGCTTCACCACCTTCAAATCCCACCATTGAGGCTCACCCTGACCACCTTACTCAGTGTTACAAAACTCTTACTATAGACTTCCGGAATCCCCCACCCACCCAATAACACTTCGAACCTTTTACAAACTATATCATCCACTTGTGTATTAGGTTTATTGCTGGTCTCTCACCCCCACCAGAATGTAAGCTTGAGATGGCAGGGATTTGGTCTTCTTTTGTTCATTTGTATCCCTGACACCTGAAAACGTATCCAGCATGTGTTAGGCACTCAGATATTTACTAGATAAATTATTGAATACATGAATGAATGAATGAATGATGGCTTCTACTTTTTTCTCTGAAGTGACTCAATATGAGAAGAAAATTGAGGATACCAGTAAAAGACAAGTTTCAAATAACTTCATGTATCTAGGATAGACAGAAAAAAGTGAAGGAAGGGGATAATAAATTGAGAGAGGATAAGGATGTCGGGGGCCTGCCTCTCTTGATGGGTTGGAGAATAGATGAGATGGGAATAAAGGAATGAAAATTCTGGAAAAAGAGGATGTTCCTTCCTTAATCTCAGAACTCAGTGAGGCCTCCACCTGATGCTTCTGGAGTTGGTTCTCTGTACTTCCCTTCCTCAGCCTTTATCACTCCTTTAAAAATTACTTTGCATCATCTTTCCTCCTGCTAAACTGTAGCCCTATGAGAACAGATACTGTTTGTCTTGTTCACACTTACAATCCCAGTGGCCATCATAGAATGGAGCTCATACGCAGTGGTCAGTACATGTTTGTAAGTAAACAAATGAAATCAGTCAGTGCTGTTGTGGTTTAAGACTGGAATGGAGAAAGAGGTCCAGGATGTGGTCTTGAGCTTGATGGTTGACGTAGAAGGCCAGAGTTGAGGCCAAGACGGAAATGAGAAAAGCGCTGGATGCATGACCCAAGATGATGTTGGGATGTGTCAGGGGACACAGTCAAATACTAAAGTTTTTGATAAATGCAAGGAAGTGCTTAGGAGGTGGGTCATTCATGGAAGTGTTAAAGAGTTGTCAGGAACCTCAGAGAAGGGAGGGTTTCCTGGGAGAGCAGAAAAACAATGATTTGGAAGAAACAACAAGGAGGATGTGTTTGTAGGTCTTTGTTATTCTGGAATCTGAGAGAATGAGCAGCCTCTACTGGGAAAAGATACGCAGGAGAAGTAAGGGCCTTGGAGGAGGGCTTAGCGGAAGGTGGAGGAATAGTTTGGTGAAGAGACTGAAGCTGTAGAGAATCTCATTTGCCACAGATTGATGGTCTGTGTTGGACGCAGAGGAAAGGATCAGGTGAC